TACTAAAATGTCCAATATGTTTTGCTTCCTTGGTTCTCAAAGATTTTCTCCCATTTCTTTGTGTTGTCGTTAACAGGAATGACCAACTTACCCTGTTTGCATTTTCTTTCCTCTGCACACCCACCCCTTTACTGTCATCTGACAATGCAGTAGCTTATTGAACGGATCTCTGTTTAAATATATAGCAGATGTGGTCTTCACAGCCAACACAAACAAAAGTTTTATAAGGACAAGAAGTCTACCATCATCCCCCCCACCATCCAAAATATCCCAAATCCCCAAATGCCGGACACTTTGTGTATCATGATCTTGGTAAAAACAACCCAACCCTTCAATTACACACACTTACACACAGCACTTTTTTTCTTTAAAAAAATGTTTAGGGGTACTTTCATTTTCCTACTCGTATTGAAATATTGCCCCTCAATGAGGCCAAACTTAGATTCACAAAATGTTTAGGGGTATGTGTACCTCTGTGTCCCCCCCAGAAAAAGGCACTGCTTACACATAACAAATATGCATTATGCGTGAACCCTATGCAGGTGTTCAGTCTGATCATGGGAGGGTTTCGATGTGTGCAAGGGGCAGGTGCTGAATGCAATGAGAATCCCGCTTCAGGCTTTCATACTCAATGTGCAAAGGTCCAAAAGGAGCCAACATGCAGTAGGACATGGGGGCAGGGTTTGGATGTGCATCCACACCCTCTCCACACTTTTAACCCTCTCTTCTTCAGGCAAACACTTGGGGGAGGACTGTAGGTTTTTCCAGATTTTGGGGAAAGAGATACATTTCTTCCTGCTCCTCAAAGTATGTCCTCCTCCTCCTCCTCTTCTCCCTCCTCTGTTTCTCAAAGTCTCTCTATCCTCCTCACTTCCCTCTTCTCACCCTCCAAGTCCCTTTCTCCCCCTCCCCTTCCCTTTCCCCAATTTTCTTCAATTGGAATGGCTGGGAAGAATTAGCAGCTCTGCCTCTTTACTTCACCCTGGAATTTTCTACAACAGAACAAATATTGGCAATTGAGATTTCTTTTTGATATCAAGAGAAAACGGGGAAAATATTAAATTTTAGATTTCCGACAACAAAGTGAAGGTAGGGGAAATGCCCAGGGAGAAAAGATTAGGATCTCTGTGTGTAAACATTGACCAAACTACTGTAACCCATTATTGAGATGAAGTGATTTCATCTTTGGACTCCAATGAAACAGGACCCCTCAACTGCTGGACAACCAGGAACAGATGGAAGAGTGTCAGGGAATGATAAAAAGCCCCGGAGTCTAAATGTTACAAATCGGTGAGTGCAAAGCAATGGCGCCATACCGCATCATAAAACTTCTCCGGGCTCAGTGTGCTCAGATAAATCTCAGAGCTTGGTAACCAAAGAACTCTGCAGAACTTTGTGTTGGGTTTCACAGGTGATTTGATCAGTGATGAATGTGGCAGGGAAACTGAGGTGGAACAAGAGGAAGGGAAGACAGGGGGAGTCTTGAATGACACCTTGCAGGTTGGACACTGGAACATGCTCTTCTTGGAAAATGGATGGCACATTGCCACTTCTCAGATGACACCTGAGAAGATGTGTAACATTAGGCATGGTGTGTGGAGTAAGTGGGCAAAGAGAGGTTGTTCTCCTTCTCTACTAACATGAGAACTCGGGGACATCCAATGAAGCTGAATGCTGGAACATTCAGGACAGCCAAAAGAACAGGAGGCAGTGATGGCCACCAACTTGGATGGCTTTAAGAGAACATTAACCAAATGCATGGACAATAAGGCTATCAGGGGCCACTAACCGTGAGGGGTATGCTTTACCTTCACTGCTGGAGGCAGTATGCATGAATTGCAGTTGCTGGGAAGCTGGGAATCACATGGGGAGAAGGCGATTGTACTCAGGTCCTGTTTGCGAGCTTCCCACAGGCATTTGGTAGCCTGATCCAGCAGGCTCTTCTTTTGTCCTTAAATCTTCCCAGTGCTAAATGAAGTCGCTCAAGGGGTTTGGGTTAAACCTAGATTAGGAATGGGGAAGCTTTTTCAGTCTGAGGGTTGCATGCCAGTGGCAGACAGAGCCCAAGGCAAAAGTGAGTGGAGGACAATGGATGTGACTTTTGCTGTTGCAACATTCCGGCCATACAATATCATCCAGTCTGGCCTATAGTTCACCCCTCAGAGAACTACAGTTCCTATGATTTTTTGGGGGGAAGCAGTGCTCTTTAAATGTGCTTCATATGTACGGTGCATATGCACCACGCCAAAGAGATGCTCTTCCATTCAAGCCAGGAGCACCAAATTTAGCAGATTTATGCTTCCTCTATTGCCAGTAATGGTTGGTGCGCGAGAATCTCTGAAATGCCAGGCTTTTCTGTCTTGTTTCTTTCCTCTCTTTCCTTTCTTTCCCAGGGAAAAAACATTGGATTTTTCATCCCAGTCCATGCCCCTGTTTTGTCTGTCTTCACCCTCGCGCTTTTCACCCAGAAAAAGGATACCCCTCCTCCCCCCTCCCACGTTCCTGAAATCCTTAACGTATATTTAGGAACTCAGAGGTCAGAAACTTGATCGCGGTGCTAAAAAGACACTAACAAATCCAGAGGGTTAAGATTTGTGCTTTTAATGATTGTAGCAGATGGCCGAGGAGGGGAGAGGGGCCAGGTCAACCCACAATCCCACACTGCCCGACCAAAGATAACCTCTGACCCTTCCTGGCTTTCTGAACCGTGGGTTCCAGCTCAACCCTTACCCCTTGGGGACCAATAAATCCTTGGGTGTTCATATCTGAGATCCAACATCCCAGCCAAAGATGTAAAAATAAAATAAAATGGTACGTCAAACCATGATGTGAGATATTAGACATTGCGATGCCTGCAAGTCTTCAGGCTCTGTTTGCTGTAATCAGCTGAGATCTAGAGCTGGCGCAAAAATGCATCAGATTGCAAGGAATCAGTCCTTCCATGAGGCAGCGCCTAAACGCTGGATCTCTCTGCCCATTGACATTGAGCAGGTGCCTCTGATGTACAGTTTGCAGCGTCTGCTAAAAACGTTTTCATTTCGGCAAGCCTTACCCATACATGCAATTTTGGCACGCAATTTTATTTTATTACGTATATTATTTATCTGATGATTTTACTGATCTTCTGAGGAAAAATTAGGTTTGTTTGTTTTCAACATCTGATTTTATGGGAACTTTTAATACCTATTTTGTATTTTATGTAAACGACTTAGAAGGTTAAGTGGTATATAAATATTTATTTATAAATGAAATAAATAGAAACAAAGACTAATGAGAGAAGAATGTAAAGCACTTCCCACACACATTCACACCGCTCTAGGTCAGTCATGTTTACATCATGACAATAAAAAAAGCACAGGTAAGGAAGGGGAAGGATGAAAAGAACAGGGTTCAAATTCTCACGTGCATGAAGCTCACTGAGTGATCTTCGACCATTTTTTCTCTCTCTCTCAGCCTTGCCTATCTCACACAGTTTCTGTGAGCATAAAATGGAGGGGGAGGAATGCTGTATGCTGCTTTGAGCTCATTGGAGAGGAAAGGCAGACTATAAATGTAGCATGAAAGTCGGAGAACAGCAGGAAGAAGTCTATTGTGTTGCCATCATGCTTGTGGGCTTCCGATCGGCACTTGGTTGGCCAATGTGGGGAGCATGTTGCTGTACTGGATAGCCTTTGGCCTGGTCCAGCAGGGCTTATGTTACTTATGTTCTTATGGAACAGCAGCTGATGGAGGCAGTTCTGGAAGGGAAAGAGCCAAAAGGCTTTTAATAGAAAAATACAATTGTGGAGTTGGAAGGGACCCCAAGGGTCACCTAGAACAACCCCCTGCCCCGAGGAGTGTCTCAGGCAGAAGGAGTGGGCATTGCTCTCCCACTTGTCTCTTGGGGGAATGTGGAATGGGTGCAGATGGGACAGCAGCATCTTCTCAGCAATACAGAGTTCAAGGGAAAGAAGGTTCTCCCATTCAGCTTTGCTTATTGTCACATTTGCCAAATCAAAACCATACGCAACTGGAACAATGGCTGGAATCGTGTCCTTTTTTTGCCCATTGGGTTGAAATAAAATCATGGGTGGATTCTAAATTATGACACAACCAACAACCATTCTTTGGATTTGGGTCCTGGTTGAGCCACCGTTTTGATCCTTGCGGTTCGCAGTCATGCCTTCCTCTGCATCTGACTGGGAATGTATTCTTGCATATCATGGTTTCATGGCTATTATATCTATATTCTGTCCCATTTCAGCACAAGATTGAATTTACAATAGCATGCCAAGAGGGAGAAGTGGAAAAACAAGATGATTAGTCCTGTTTTGTAGAGGATCAGGGCTGTTTATACCTATAAATTTCAAAGGGCAAGCCAGGAACAAAAAGATATCCATGGGACCGCTACATCAGGAAGTGCAAGTTATTACAGATGTATTGATTTAATCAGGCCTTGCGATAGGTTTATTTATGAAAAGCAGCTGTTGCAGAAATGTGTGACTTTGAAGACACAAGAACACACGATGGATCTCACCTCCCTTTACAAAAAGAAAATGGCCTGATAAGCTTTATCAGAGATGACTTCTGCCACCTTACACTTTGAGTGTTTACCAGCTCATTCCTGGAATTGCTGTCTTCAATTTCCAGGCAATCCAGCCCTGTGAAGCTTGGGCCAAACAAAGTCATTAGTTTAGAGCAGGCATGGGAAAATTTGACCTGCTAGATGTTGCTGCACTACATCTCCCATCATGGCCAGTGGCCAAGGATGATGGGAGTTGTAGTTCCGCACACTTGCCATACAGACATGAAAAATAAAGCTGATGACTTCTGATGTGGCCAGTTAGCTACTGAGCCAAGTTTAAGGTGTCTCACATAGACTGCTCAGGGAACTACTATCTGTGGACAAAGTCCTCCTGAACATGCCGCAAGCTACAAAGTTTTATCTCTTGGGGATTACTGAGGAGGACCCTCTCAGTTTTGGCTCCTGTGGAACAAAGTCAGATGAGTACAAATGGGAAAGAGTTACAGCTCAGTTGCAGAGCATCTGCTTTGCATGCAGAAGGTCCCAGGTTTGATCCCTGGCACCTCTAGGCAGAGCTGGGGGGGGGGGGGGAGAGACAAACAAACTCCAGTCTGAGATCCTAGAAAGCTGCTGTGAGCCAGTGCAAATTATACTGAGCTAGATGACCTTAAGATCTAACTCTATGTGCATCTCCTGTAAATTTGTGTAGATTCCCTATCCAAGCCCTTTAAGCTTGGCCATGAAATGCAAATGCATGGTGCATTATGGGAAACTCCTCAGATGGTGCTTAAATGGAGCCTTCATGTCCAGTGTGCTTCTGAAGCTGGGGGAATAAAAAGAGGCTGCAGCTGAATGCTGGATTAGATTAACCTCCCTGCTCTGATACAACAAGGCAACTTCTTCCAGTTCTTATTTTTGAAAATTGCACTTACATAAGTGACCCAGATTACAAATAATCCAGACATTTCAACGTGTGAATTGATAGTGTTAGAGTGGAACAATCCTTCAGTAACTGGTCAATGATGTATACTGCCAAGGTTTAAGCAGCAAGGAATGTTCACTAATACTGGTTGCCCATTTTATGTAGTCTCTCCAGTTTTGGGTCAAGGTTGGAGCCAGGCTAAGTCATGCTTAAAGTAGACCTATAGAAATCAATGGGACAAGTAAGTGCCCAATGATTTCAATAGGGACATCCTAAGCATGACAACCAAGATTCAACCAGAAACAGCTGACGGAGTTGGGTATGTTTAGCCTGGAGAAGAGAAGACTGAGAGGTGATATGATAGCGATCTTCACATATCTGAAGGGCTGTTACATAGAAGATGGAGCAAACTTGTTTTCTGCTACCTTGGAGGGTAGGACCTGAACCAATGGATTCAAATGACAAGAAAGGAGATTCTGACTAAACATCAGGAAGATCTTTCTGATGGTAAGAGCTGTTCAATAGTGGAACGGATTCCCTCAGAAAGTGGTGGGCTCTCCTTCCTTGGATGTTTCTAAACAGAGGCTGGATAGCAATCTGTCTGGGATTCCTTAGCTGCTATTCCTGCATTGCAAGGAGTTAGACTAGATCATATGAGCCAACTCCTAGGGGCCAAGGGGTATTTGCTCTCTCAATAAAATATTTGAGGGGGCCGCCCCCCTCCAAGTTGATGCACATTACCATTCAAATGGTGTGCGTGCACAGCATCATATGATCAATTATGTGAGGCGGAGCTTACTTGCCCTCCTATATTTTACTCAAGTAGGCACCCCAGGACTAGATGACTCTTGTGGTCCCTTCCAACTTGACAATTCTATGAAATTCTATGAAAACAAGTCCTGTTCATTTCAATGGGTCTACCCTAAATCTTGATCCAAACCAAAGTTCCCATACATTGAATGAGGCATGGCCTGGAGAACTTTGTGGTAGATTGTGTACCTCATGTTGATCAGCATGTGGGTGGTGCATTTCAAGTACAGTCATACCTCGGGTTGAATGTGCTTCAGGTTGAGCGCTTTCGGGTTGCGCTCCACGGCAACCCAGAAGTAACGGACTGCGTTACTTCCGGGTTTCGCTGCTCGTGCATGCGCAGATGCTCAAAATGATGTCACGCGCATGTGCGGAAGCAGCAAAACATGACCCACGTATGTGCAGGCGCGCCGTCACGTCTTACGTTCTGTTCAGGATGTGAACGGGGCTCCAGAACAGATCCCATTTGCATCCCGAGGTACCACTGTACTAGCCTAATTGCTTGTTTGTTTTTGCTGGCCCTGGCTGTTAGCCATGGTGACAATCTGAATCCTCCCTATTTGAAATCAATATGTCATTGGGCATCAGCTGCTAGTGGCTAAGAGCAGTGGACTCGTAATCTGGTGAACCAGGTTCACGTCTCCGCTCCTCCACATGCAGCTGCTGGGTGACCTTGGCCTAGTCACACTTCTCTGAAGTCTCTCAGCCTCACTCACCTCACAGAGTGTTTGTTGTGGGGGAGGAAGGGAAAGGAGATTGTTAGCCACTTTGAGACTCCTTAGGGTAGTGATAACTCAGGATATCAAATCCAAACTCCTCCTCCTCCTCCTCTTCTTCTTCTTCTTCTTCTTCTTCTTCTTCTTCATATTCATGGACTCTTTGAAGGCATCATCTGGTTGGCCACTTTGGACTGATCCAGTAATTCTCTCCTTATATTCTTAGCAGTCTCTTTTTCCCTGGCATAAGCCATTGTAATTCCTTCCAAAATGCTAACTGCCGATGTCTCCAGCTTCTTTCAGAAAGATGCCACATGCTCTTGTCTCTTGCTCATGCAAAACAACTTGTTCTGGCCACAATTTTCCCCAAACTATTTCAAAACGCCAGGAGCCAAGAGAATGTAGCCTTCAGCCTCCAAACACCCTGGTTCCTTTGAGACCAACAGTTTGTTGGAATCACTCTCAGCACTTATGGGGAAAATATCAAGCTTGTTGCCAGTTATTTCTGGAATGGTTGGCTTGCCTCAGTGACCTACAATGGGGACGGATAGTTCCTTTCCAGGGAAGTTGCTTTCATTTATGTTTTGCATGAGTGAGCAATTGCAAAGCAGTTCACTATGGTTTTTTATTGAGCCCATAAGAACATAATAGATTTCTGCTGGATCAGGCCAATGGCCCATCTAGTCCAACGACTTGTTCTCAGAGTGGCCAACCATATGCTTGTGGAAAGCTAACAAGCAGGATTTGGACACAAGAGCACTCTTCCCTCCTGCGGGTTTCAGCAAGTGGTATTCAGAAGCGTTGCTGCTCCAACCATGGAGGCAGAGCACAGTCATCCTGGCTAGGAGCCATCAATCACCCTCTCCATGAATTTGTCTAATCTTCTTTCAAAGCTATTGAGGTTGGTGGCCACCACTGCCTCCTGTGGGAGTGAGAACTTGTGAATATGGTCAGGACAGTATGTAATACAACGTTTTACAAAATTAAACCATACCATCTGGAAGTCTGATCTGTCACATTTGTCCGAACAGATTCACAGTTTTGCATTTTGATTTCTCAAAGCTGCTTTAAATATAAGCAAGTCCAGATATTTAATTCCTTGATCTCATCCTGCTGAACATCTTTTCATTCACCTTTTTTTCTGAGGTTTATATTACAACACTAATAGACACACAAATGGAGAGTCATCTTAAAACGAAATGCTAGGAAGTTCTATCAAATGCTTCATTGCCATCTACAAACATACATGTTGAGACATTTGGATAGGGGGTGCCCATATTATACTGGACTATGGACCAATCAAATGGAGCCTAGCAGAAAATGGGAGGTTTAGTCCACTAGATCAGGGACAAGGTCAGTAGAAATATTCCAGTGGTGCCCCCCCAGTGGCCTCTGTAGTGTGCAACGAGTCATGCAAAACCACTAGGGAGTGCAGATGGGGGCCTGTATTTCCATCCTCATTAAAAGCTCAGTTCAGTGGGGACAAATGAGCATTGCCACATGGATGGGGGTGCTTGACATTGACCTCTGCAGCAGCTAATCCTGTGCAAGACCTGCTTCCTTGCACAGCTTCCCCTTAGTCAAGCAGGGCAAATGTCTCAATGGTGCGTGAAACTGTCACAGAATAATAAAATCACAGAACTGTAGAGGTGGAAGAGACCATGAGGGTCATCTAGTCCAACCCCTGGCAATGCAGGGAACTTTTGCCAATGTGGGGCTCAAACCCACAATCCTGAGATTAAGAGTCTCAAGTGAGTCATCTCAGTTTCGATTTCTCATATTTTCTCATCTTTTTCCCCAAATGGGAGAGACCTGCTTCTTCATGTGTAAGCAACTGCTTACATCTACCTCATACTCCTGATCTGCATGCCAAATCCTACAATCACACTTTTTAAATAAAACAAACAAACCCAGACTCAGGGACAGGAGAGTGTGATTTGCAGGGAGGCAAGATGTGTTTGTGGGGTGGGACTCTTCCAAAGCTTTAAAACAACAACAGCACTAAAATCGGACATGAGATAATATTGGCTATGTAGCCCAAAGGCTAGGTAACCAGGAACTGGAATCAAGTTGTTTACTGCATAGTGTGTGTGCACATGAGAGAGATCAAGAATGGTTTGGCAATCATGAATAGGGATGGGCAAATATTTCCATTTTGGTTTTTCTCCCCCCCCCCCGCCACTTTTTCCAATCTTAATTTCAATTCTCCACATTTCCACACTAGTTAGATTGTTTTTTTAAAGCGTGCTTGGAAATTTATCAACATTTTGGTGCGATTTTTTTTATGCCATTTTGCCTACTATACACATTTTTTAAGTAACTTTATCTAATACAATGAAAATTTTACTGTTATTTTCATTAATATATGTGTTTTTTCCGCACGTTTTACTCTAGCAGATGTATTTCTGTACACATAACTTGGATGGAGAATGGCACTGCAAAATTCAGAGGCGTGCAGATCGTGAAGGATGGCTGTGTTTCACTTTGCACATTGCTTTGGAAAGTGCGAATTAGGGTTAAATGCAAACTGAATCAAATCTCTCTACTCAAACAGCACTCATTATAAATAAAGCTTGTCTATTTGCGCCACCTGTGCAACTTGTTTTGCAAATCAGAAGCGTGTTCTGTAGCCGGGGGCTACATAGAGCACTGGAACAAACTGTCCAGGAGTGTTATGGAAACAATTGGTTGGACAAGTTTAGCTTGATGTAGGTATGGGCAGAGCAGCTAATTCCATCCCATTCCATCCCTTGTTATCCTGCTGCAACCATTCCTTCCTGTTGTGGGCAGTTTGTTTGCACTTTCAACAAAAAGCACATACTTTTTATGTAAAATGCATACTCTACAATGTTTTTCAAGGCATTCATTAGTAAGATTTTTTTTAATGTGTCTTTTATGTAAAATAATATTTTTGTGTGCACTCTTTCTGCATTGGGGTGTATGGGGTGTTAGGGGAGGGGTAGTACCTCTGGTGGGGGAGAGTGCTACCACTGAGAAGGTCCACTTCCATCTCCAACATACCCTACAATATTTCTCCAATGAAAATAGGGACATCTCATTCCACAATGATACTTTTGCTATTTATACCCCACATATCAGTGGTGGCCAAACCCGGCCCTC